AGTCATTACGCACCTGATCGAGTCATTGGGAGCTTTGCTGAATTCATCAGGCTCATACCCTCTGCTCCATCCCTCACAGAAGGGACATTGCCGTAAACACGTAGCTGAAATCAGTTTCCTCATCTCAAGTAAACCACCACACCCACACTCAGGGGCACTGGGCTCCGTGCACAGGTTTGTTTGATAAAGAGCATGACAGTGTTTGCTATGGGAAAGAGTTAAAGAAACGCACCGTGTGCGAACAGATGCATGGAGTGGGGAAATGCAGAGGTCGGGGAGCGTGTCTCGGTAGCCGTTCCAGAGCTCCCCAGGGCAGATCTGTTATATGGCGAGTCCTAGCTCCCACCTGCGTGAGTGCCAGAACTCCCAGGGCCTGGTAAGTCTTAAGTCTCTGCACACGCGATCCGCTAGCTAGAGGGCTCCCCGCACCACCTTCCTGCCTGTCCCCTGTGCTGCGGTGAGGCCAGTTCATCTTATTAGAGCTGGTTGGAAAAACTGATAAAGTTTTGATTACAAAATGTAAGGCAAATTTTGCCGTTTCCCCTGCCTCCCCGTTCCATTTTCCAGCCAATCCCCTATGGTTTAACAGGCAGAAGGGCCTGGGGGATCAACACACACTGGGGTTGTGGTAGTTTCTGATCCGAGCTGAGGTCAGGATGGGCTTAGCTGTCTAATCCAAGCCCCTGGTGCTGGGGGAAGGGATCTGTGGAATTTTTCCAGCTGTACGATAGGGACTGGATACCTTGGCCACGTGCTGCAGAATTAGGCCCCTTTATCCATTTGCCAAGGTGTTCCCCTAATGTGCTGAGGAGCGGGTGTGCCCCAGGCAAGCACCCATGCAGATGAGCAGGATATTGGTCCAGACTGAGGGAATCATAGTGCAAGCAGGGCATGGCAGCTTAGCCCTCGTGCCTGCACATTTCAAGGTATTGGCAGAGCTGGTGGAAGCCTCACACCACCCTTGCAGCTATCCTAATGTACGATGAGACCAAGGGACATTGCCACCCCATGCTCTCAGCATCCATAAACCTCTGAGTGCCAGAAGCTGGGACTGGACCACAGGGGATGGATCACTCAATCATTGCCCTGTTCTGTTCATTCCCTCTGAAGCACCTGGCACCAACCAGTATTGGAAGATGGGATATTGGTCTGGATGGACCATTGGTCTGACCCAGCATGACCATTTTCAGGTTCTTCTGCTACAGCTGCATAGGGGAAACTTCCACAGCTCCTGGCTGCCCCACATTTCCAGGCATTGCTATTGTTGGGTTACAGTCAAAACACACCATATCCTGGCTCTCCTGAACATCTGCAGGTTTCTATGCCCTCAGCGACCTCTGGATAATCAGGGTGGCCTGGTGTCCTTTTCCATCCCTTTATCTCAAGGGAGCATGGTTAGTTTTGAAACAGTGGATGCCTGGAGGATGTTGGGAGCGATGGAAAAGTCTGCACCAGAGTACCTCCAATCCCATCCAGGAACCTACATACCATAGGCTTGCCTTTGCTTGCGCTGTCTCTTTAAGAGATACCAGCCTTGCAAAGGTGACTGGGTGGCTCAGATTCTGATCTCAGCAGCACCGGGGAGAATTGGAACAAATCAAGAATGGCCCCTTGGCCCGCAATCAGGAGTCGGAAGCAAAGTAGCCTTTCCACTGGTGACTCCAAACTGAAGCTAAAGCTTGGAAGAGAGGTAGCATGGTCTAGTGGGCAGGGCATGGACTGCACGCCAGATTTTTCAAAGTACTAGTGAGATTTTCAAAAACGTCTAGGCATCTACTTCCCATTGGAGTAACGTGCCTAGATGCTTTTTAAAATCCTAGTCGGTATCTATTTGCATCCTTAAGCACCTAAATACCATGAAAAAGTTGGGCCCTTAGAGTCAGGAGCTCTGGGATCTATTCTCAGTTCTGTGGCCGACTTGCTGGGTGGCCTTGGACAGTCACTTCTCCTCGCTGTGTCTCTCGTTTCCCTCCCACCCACTGTCTGTCTTAGCTATTTAGGTCTTTGAGACAGGACTGTTTCTAACTATCTGTATGTACAGCCCCAAGCACAATGGGGCCTCCCAGCCACTGTGGTAATATATAAGTAATAGCTATCTGGGAAGGCTGGGTTCCCTGAAGCTCAGGGCTGTATCCAAAACACACAAGAGAGACTTGGTTTGAAAAACAAACAAATTTATTTCATTAAAAAATAGGCAATTATTTCATTACAAAATACTGTCAAATGGCTCTGCTAGTTCATTACAAAACCGGGAGATGCTGCACATGTAACCGTCACTTCTTGTTATTGCAGTTCCTAGAATTAAATACACACACGCACACACCCGGACTTCTTGTGTTCTCCCTGCGAGGATGCATTCATCACAGTGTCCTGGTTTCAAGAGCTCGGGGGCTCTTGGCCACAGTACAACCAGCCTTGCGATAAGAAAACAAGTACATGTGCAAAATTCAAAGCTGTGTGTGCAATTCCTTTATAAGTCAATGGCATTGCACCCTTAAAAACCAGGCCTGAATTTGGTCCATCAAATGGAAGCCTCTTCGAGCAGTCTTTTTAAAAAAAAAAAAAAACAAAAAAACCCTCACACAGAACAACTTCATTCTAAGCAAAACTTTCACATTTCAATATTGCTCAGTGAGATGGGGCCTCTCTTTATCCCTCACTATATAGCCGAGGTTGTTGTCAGTGGGTTCCACTGTCTATATGGACAGAGGTTCTCACACAAACAGACTTTTAAGAAGTTAATCTTAAGAGACTGCCCCCAAAATATCCCCCACTGAACAAAGCTCAGTTCTGCCCTCCATCTTTAGTAGAAGACCAGCTCTGTTAAGCTACTCCATTTTTTGTCAGCGGTTATTTGAGATGAGTTTCACGATGCAAGCTCTGAAGCTTTATGGATCGACCACAGCTTCCCCTTGTTCCAGGGCTCTGTCTGTGATGGGACATAATTTCAGTGGCTCTGTGAGGTCCCTGAGAGTGAGACCCGATAACTTGCCTTGTGCATTAAAAACAGCCACAACCCGATTACAATAATATTAAAAAAAATGAAGCAATAAATAATTTTTTAAAATGGGGCACTTGGGGTAGGTCCTACATATAAACAAAGTCACACATGCAGGATCAATTCCAGAAACCCTTTACGTCATGATTTTTCTCAGATTCACCCTCTCCCCCAAGAATGTTCCGATTGAAGTAAATGGGAGTTTGGTCTTCAGCAGGGATTCTGAGATATGGCCTGATGACAGATGGTTTGTGTGCACAGTTACATTTGTGACATGGAGAGAGGTACAGACCCTAAGCGGAGATGGGGAAAGACGAGGTTATTACCTCACAGAGGCTAAAATGTTGACTCTTTCTGTACGCTGTAGCCCACAGGCTAACTAGTGCTTAGGAGTGCCTTAAGTTTGGGATGTTCAGCTTGAGCCAGCTGAAAGGGGGCTGATTTTTGGAGGTGCTGATAACCTGCCCTCTGACATTCAGCCGTCTTTAAAGGGTCTCAAGTTGAGCACCAAAAATCACTAGTCACTGTTGGAAATCTTGTCTGCACACAAGCCTGCACTGGTTTGACTAAAGGTGTGATTTTAAACCAAGGCAAGGGTGTGCACGTACACACACACACACACACACACACACACACACACACTTCTAATCTGGTTACAACTTATTGTGATTTACCTGGCACCTCTAATTTACCAATAAAAGCCTGGTTCAAAATCAATGAGTGTCCACATAGGGATTTAGTTTTATCTAAAAGGGGGTTCCAAAGAGGATGGAGCTCGGCTGTTCTCAGTGGTGGCAGATGACAGAACAAGGAGTAATGGTCTCAAGATGCAGTGGGGGAGGTCTAGGTTGGATATTAGGAAAAACTATTTCACTAGGAGAGTGGTGAAGCACTGGAATGGGTTACCTAGGGAGGTGGTGGGTGGGTCAGCTTTTGTGGCCTGCATCATGCGGGAGGTCAGACTAGATGATCATAATGGTCCCTTCTGACCTTAAAGTCTACGAGTCTATGAGTGGTGGAATCTCCTTCCTTAGAGGTTTTTAAGGTCAGGCTTGACAAAGCCCTGGCTGGGATAATTTAGTTGGGGATTGGTCCTGCTTTGAGCAGGGGGTTGGACTAGATGACCTCCTGAGGTCCCTTCCAACCCTGATATTCTATGATTCTATGGTGTTAAACCAGTGCAACGTCTGTGCGGACAAGCCTCAAGTGACCTTAACTCCCACGCCCAGGCTCCATCTCCTTGTGGGCTTTAGATGGCACTTGAGTGTCAGACAGTTCAGTGTTTAAAGTGATGGTCGAACTTTCCCTACACTGGTGATTTGGAAACTAGAGTAACTACCACTCTTGCTGGGAGAGTTTGAATGACCCATTCAAGAAACAGCCATCCAAGCTGGAATAAGGAAAAGGCCCTGCTAGGACAGCCTTTGAGAGTTAAATCTAGTCTGTGGACAGCCAGCTCCATTTTAAATTCGACAGCATGACGTACCATAGGGAGCAATGTCGGGATGTACCTTCTCTTCAAAGTTTTCCTCCTCTGTCCAAGCACGTGCTTTGATCCATGCTACCTTGCAATAGGATACAGCCTCAACAGTACCTGTGCTATATTCTCCTTCTGCAAAGCCGTGATCAAGTCCTATTATCAGATCAGCAACTGGCTGCTACTGCACTGTAGAGGGAGCCTGTTCCTACCTTTACCAAGGAGGCTTGATTGGTTGGGTGACCCTCTGACCCCAGCCCATATGCACCATTTGCACAGACAAGGACCATTATAGGCTGGAGAGGAATTTGCTCACTACCCCTCGCAGATTTAAAAGCACACACACACTGGGAACAGTTTTAAAAAAACAATAAATTACATGTATAAAGTGAAATGCCCTAAGGATTATGTTGAAAAAATAATTATTTTATATATGTGTATATACACACACACACACACACACACACACACACACACAACCAAAACCTGAAGAGAGAGTGCTTTAGCCACTCATCAGCTACCACAATGAGAAATGTTCCATTAAAAATATCAACATGCAAACAGGCGCTTCTTTAAGGGGATCAAACAGCTTGATAGAAGCCAAACCCTAAATCTAAGTTGGCAGAAAGGTCTGTGGTTTTAAAGGGACAGTGTCCAATTTTGGCTCAAACTTTTTTTTTTGTAAGAGGGGATTTACAAACCTAGATGACAATCCTGAAATCAGATGATAGTTAGATAGAGAGATGGTTATTATGGGAATGGACGGACAGACTGATGGACAGAAAGACAGACTCCTACACCCATGCAAAAACCTTACTGATGTCAATAGAGTGGCTGAAATTTTTTCATCTGAATTTTTATTCCAATGAAAAAATCACCTTCCCCCACTCCCCCCCCAAAAACTGAACATTTTTGCAGATATGTGGTGGTTGTAATTTTCCAACTTTTGAACAAGATTTTTTTTTGGCTTAAAAATTTTCAATTATTGATCCCTCTAGCGCTTGCTTTCTTTTTTCCTTCCTCCTCTGCCTCTTCAGTGGCAACACAGAAAGAAGGAGAAAGAAAGAGGGAAGAACCAAAACCGGAAAGATTTCCGGCTGTAGATTTTTTTCCAGTGAAAAGTGGGAAAATGTTAACATTTTTCACTAAAAAATGTCGAGAAAATGACACGTACTTACATATTTTTGCGTGACACGTACTTACATATTTTTCTACCAGCTCTTGTCAAGGGGGGGGAGGGAGGAGGGGGCTGCACCCTAGTGGATCTGATTGCAGGTTCGGGTGTTCATCTCCATAGAAATGGTTGTGAGAGTTCAAAATAAGTGCCAATGAAAACAAGGTTAAAACAAAAACTAACGCCGCATTGGCCAGCTCCCGGACCAGCAGCATTGGGCTAGCCCAGGAGAATCAGTGCGGGGACCTAACCGCGTGGCTGACCTTCAAGAGGTGCTGAGCTCCTGTGGCTTCTCTCAAATTCAAGGAGAAGCAAGAGAGTGCTCGATGCCTCTCAGGATCAGGCCTTAGAAACAGAAAAGGAAACTGACCGTTTGTGCTTCCTCTGCCCTCCCAGCAAAGCCAGAAATGGCAGACAGGGAGGAGAGATGATAGAGAAAGAGAAAGAGGAGAAGGTGAACAAGCCTCTTGAATCCCCAGCCAAGCTGAGTTCCAGACTGCGGAAGCAAAGCCCTTTTGATTCTCCCGTCCCCTCCGATGCCAACATAACACCAGCAACAACAGCCAGAAAAAACAATAAAATTCCACATAAACACCTGATCCTCCTCTATTCCCCTTTGCGATGAACGTATTAAAATAGAGACCTGTACCCTGTCCGTGGCACAAGCACTCTGAGGTAACCTTTGCTGCAAAGGAAGCTCCACCCTTATTCTGATAGGGCCTACACAAAACAAGAGCGACGCTAGAAAAGACTCGGCTTGTAAACCGAGCTTGTCCCAGCTAGGCTGTGCCACAGCAGTCCTATGACGTGGTGTATTGGGACAGAGCCACAGGGAAATGGATTGATTTAGCAACGCAAGGTGGGGTAAGGCCCAAGTGGGAATTTCTGCAAGGGCTAGGGGAGGGAACTCACAGTGCGATGGTAAGCCATTGGCCGGGGTCCATCTCCAAGCTGGCCAATGGGGAGAAGGAGAAGGGGAGTTAAAACGTTACTTAAAAGTAGAGCGCTCTCTAGGGACGAGGCCGGGGGGATTCTAAAGTGCGAGTCTCAGGCCCCTGGGAGGCCAGGGCAGCTGCCTAGTCACGTGTCCCGAGGTTTTCTCTGTCTTCCTTCATCTTCAAATTTGATCCTTTAAGAAAACCAACAACCACCGAAAGCTACTGGCCAAGCGGAGAGGGGCAGGTGAGATCCCCAGTGCAACCGCAGCTCTGGTCCTGCTGAGCAAAGAGGCTTGAGGCTTAAGGCAACTGTAACATGCGGGCTGAGGGGGCTCTGGAGAAGGGTGGAGAGACTCTGCAGGTTTAGCTTCCAACGCGGATCCCGCGTGGAGACTCCAGTGTGTCACAGGCTCCTCAGGCGCCGGCGGACGGCTCTGCAGCCCCACGGGAAGGAGGGGGAAGCTGAGGGACAGTCTAGTCATTCTTTGGCAAATCAGTTCCCCAGATGTTTGCTGGGGGGCTTATCTCCAGATGTTTGGAGAGGCTCAGCCTGCCGGCTCAAACTGTCCCCGCCAGGCCCCAGAGGAAGCCGCCCCCAGGTTCTGTCAGAAGAGGCAGGATCCCCTCAGGCGCCTGGCCTTGCTCAGTTCAGAGGTCAGCGACCTGTTCATTTGCTTGGTGGTGAGCTTCATGCTCTTGGCGGCTTCCACGGCCTGGCTCAGGGACCAGTTGAGGTCCTCCAGGTCGTCGAAGTCAAGCATCAGGGAGTGGTGGTGACCATGGGCTTGCTGCCGGGTGGCCCAGGGCTTCAGCTCCGCCACTCTGTACGGGCTGGAGTAATGGGCAGGCAGGCCATCTGGGCCAGGGACTGAGGTAGGTGGTGGTGGAGAACAGTAGCTGGAAAAAAACAACAACAAAGACTAAATACAGTGTGCTGAGGGAGGAACAAGCAAACCTAGATCATCCCTGACAGGCGTTTGTCCAACCTGTTCTCCAAACCCTGGAGGTTCCATAACCTGTTCCAGAGCTGAACTACCCTCAGAGTTAGAAAGTTTTGCCTAATATCTAACCTGAATCTTCCATGCTGGAAACTAAGCTGATTACTTGTTGTCCTACCCTCAGTGGACCTGGAGAACAATTGATCACTGTCCTTTTTATAACAACTTTTTCCATATTGGAAGGCTTATGCCCCCCTCAACCTTCTCTTCTCTAGACTTAACGTGCCCCCTTTTGTATCCTTTCCTCAGAGGTCAGGTTTTCCAAACCTATCACTTCTGTTCTCTCTCCAGTGTGTCCACATCTTTCTTAGAGTGTGGTGCCCAAAACGGGACACACCGCTCCAGATGAAGCTCCTAAGTGCCTAAATCACTTAGGCTTGGCAACGCTGCGTGGAGCAATACCTAAATAGCTTTAAAAATCTGGGCCTAAGTGATTTGACCAAGGTCACGCAGGATATCTGTGGAAGAGCAGGGAACCAAAACCATTCTCCCAAGTCCCAACTTAGCGCCCTAACCGCTGGACTATCTTTCCCCTCCACAGGCCCTAGAGATCCTAGGCTGCCTCCCACAATCCCAGAAGGAAACTCTGAACACCCCTCCCCATGGTAACCCCAACCAACGTGGCATGGGCCGCTCTTACAGCACAGAGGGCGAGTAAGGCACCAGGGGCACTGTTGGGATGTAGTTGACAGCTGTGCCAGGGGGTGGGGCCGGCAGGTACCAGAGGCCAGGCTGCTGCGGCTTCTCGGGTTTGTGACGGAGGTCGGAGCCTTGAGGTGCGCTCTCTGTGCCGCGGCCTGTCGCTGTGGAGAAGAACGACACACGGTAAGAGACACCCTGGTATTCGGCATGAATGGACAGGAAACCCACGAGGCTACTTCCATCCCTGGTGCTACGCTACTGACTCCAGGGGCGAGTCTGGCCTGAGGACAAAGAGAGGGCAGGGGATGCACCCCTCAATCTACTGGAATAACTCCCTGGGATGAATCACACCTGCAAGCCGCTGTGCTGGAAAACCCTGCCCTGGGATCTGCAACTGCAGCAAGTGTCAGGCCCTCCACTGTCAGTGCTCCAGTCCTTACGCGGACTCCTCTGAGCTCTCCCAGACAGCACTCCATTCCCTCCCAGCCACTGCTGGGACTGCAGCAGCTGTGAGATACAGCCAGCGTGCCACTACTATTACCTACAGCGACTCCTACTGGCAGAGGCTGGCGCTGCAGCAGCTGTGAGCCATAGCCAGCACGCCAATTTCATTACCTATAGCAACTCCAGCTGGCTGAAGCTGGAACTAGCACTAGCGTGGCTGGGAGCTTCTCTACTGCTATCCTCTGCAGACACTCCTTTTTGGAACGGCAGAGTTTTGAATTCAGCTTTCAGTGTGGCCTTGGCCAGTATGTCCCTCTGCTAGATGGGAACCATTCACCAGGGTCACTCCTCATGCAGAGCAGCTCTTCATAGAACAGAAACATTCAAACAGAGCAAACTGGTCACCCACCATGTGCTGCTTTGTCCCTGGTTTTAGAAACAGGGGTGCTCCTGGTCCCGTTGCAGGTGGGACAGTGCGTCTTCCTTGGAGTGCTATGCTGAGCGGGTCTCATGGTGTCCCCAGATGATGCATTGCCTAAAAAACACAGAGGACAAACAGTGAGTAAAGTAACTCCACAAAGATCTAAACGCCAAACGGCAGTAAAAGTACATAGGAGGTTTCAGGCTGTTTGGATTAAGGCAATTTGCAGAAAGTAAAAACTTTAAAAAAAAAAAAAAAGTTGATTGCAAAGAATGCTGGGTCACAACATGCAAATGGAACCGTACCCCTTTAGCTCAGCTGTGGGGTCCTATCAGCGACAGGACTGCGCCCTCAGCAGCTGCAGGGAAACAGCCTCGGATGTGCAAAAATTCAGGCAAAGCACCTGAGGGGATCACAGCTTGCATGCAATGTATTCAAAATGCTGGGTGCTAAATGCAAGTTAATCTTTAGCCAAGTTAAATGGTTTAATACAGGCGGCTGCTAGTCCAGAAAGCCGGGGGGAGGGATAGCTCAGTGGTTTGAGCACTGGCCTGCTAAACCCAGGGTTGTGAGTTCAATCCTTGAGGGGGCCATTTAGGGATCTGGGGCAAAAATCTGTCTGGGGATTGGTCCTGCTTTGAGCAGGGGGTTGGACTAGATGACCTCCTGAGGTCCCTTCCAACCCTAATAGTCTATGATTCTATGATTTCTTTATGGGCCGGCTGTTGCTAGCATTGGGAAACAAGACGAACAAAGCAGGTTATAACACAGAGCTTGCGAACGATAACAACTGGCTTTAGCACAATGGGAAAACTGCAAGATTGCAACAAAGGCCAGAAAAATCCAAGGATTACGGCTGATCTGACAGCCTCATCTTGACTAGGGTGACCAGATGTCCCGTTTTTAAAGGCACAGTCCCGTTTTTGGGGACTTTTTCTTATATAGGCGCCTATTACTCCCCACCCCCGTCCCGTTTTTTCACAGGGGCTATCTGGTCACCCTAATCTTGGCAATGTCACCCATCCTGTCGATTATGTGGGGTGCTTCCGTAATAATGAACAACATCCACAGGGTCACATGTAAGGAGAGAGCAAGCGACATATGTGCAACTGGGCTGAGTTAACAGTCCAGCAGTGTAGGATGCCACATGCTTTGATCTGTACTAGCCTGCTCTCTTGTGGTAGGGATACAGCCTACCCAATATCTGCAAATCTCACGGTCAGAGTGGCTACTGGCCAGTCCTGCTTCTGCACAATCAGCAGAGGGAGCCGGCTCCTACCTTTTCCAATACGAAGGAGGTCCCTCCACCCCGGGGTTGGCTCTGAGTCCCTCTCACCACTCTCAGAGCGCATTCCACCCAAAACACATCTGCATGATCTCTGCAGCTCTCTCATCGGGGTGGTGTGAGGCTTCGTTATTTCATTGGTTCAGGCCTTAAGTAACTAATGGTTTCGTTAGTGGGTATTTGCGAAGCCCTCAGAAATCTCAGGGAGCAGACACTAATGAAGTGCAAAATCTTGTTATTTTACAGGTTGTAAATACTAAGCAAAGCAGCTCTGAGGTGTGATTCCTTGGGGTCTGGCCCAAGATGAGCGGATGGGATATTTACCAGCTTGTGTCCTGGTCCCTTGGCAATGGAGGCAGGAAGTGGGGCCCGTGTCTTCCCTCCGTTCTGGGGACACAGGGGCCGATAAGTGGTAGCGCGTCCCTGCAGAATGCAACAAGAGCTGGCTCAGCACCCTTCGCGGAGGGCACCCAGCTGGGAAGGGGGAGAGGGGGACTGAGCGGTGGCGCTCACATGGCTGGGAGAGGAAGCTCCCTCCTGCCTGGTAAGCACAACATCAAGTCAGCGTGTGCATGGGGCAGAGAGCGGAGATCCAGTTTAAGAACACAGGGTGGCCCATGTTGTTACCAAGGCCGAGCAGGGCCTCGTTCGTGCTCACCCACCTGTGTAATGGCCCTTGAATGTCAGTGGCCTCGGAGAGCTCTGCCTGGAGGAGAAGCTTGTCCTGGGCTTCCCATCCCGAGCCCGCGGCGGGGGGCAGTCTGACTCCGACGCTGCAGAACCCCGAGAACACCCGATTAGACGGTCAGTCACGTCTGCTAGACACCTCCCTAGTGCGTTTCTAACCAGCGAGTGCATTGCCCTGCGTGCTGGGGGTGCTGCTCCGTGCGCCTGTTCTCTAGGCACTATGGGATAGCTGACTCTCTGTTGTATCAAGCAGGCAAGGTACTAACAAGCTTCAACAGGACTTTATTTTTACAGTGGAAACCTCTTTTCCAAGCTGCTGCTGCACACTCTGTAACCCTCACTCAGCCTCCTCCACTCCTCCCCCCTGTTGTATCATCCTTTCAGACTCCCAACAGCCAGTGCTCCCAGTTCTAATAATACAAGCAGCATCTAAACACCACACTCTCCCAGCATGCACTGGTACAAGAGCTATTAGGGGGCGGGGTAGGTGTGGTGCCGTGGTGCAAACCCGACTCAAGCGTGTGTTGTCAACACCAGGTCAGAGGAGGGAGTCGCAGGCGGGTCGCGCAACCACAGTTGCGCTTGTAGCAACCACCGGCCCTCGTGTGAATGAAACACCACAGGATCTAGGGTAACGACCGTGAAGAGCTGGGCACAAGTTTGGATCCAGGTCCAGACTCCAGCTTTCCGAAAGGTCAGGAGGGCTGGATCTGGGCATGAGCCTGCCTGTCACGAACGTTCCCAGGGTGCTGGTATCAGTGCCCACTTGTGTGCACCACAGAGTGCCCGTTCTCACCTCCTGCACGCATAGGAAGGGCGCCTGAAAATCCCTTTTAGGAGGGGGAATTCAAAGAAGGAAAAGCAGATCCTGGTGCCTCTGCAGTCTGCTGCCCCCGAGTAATTGCTCCTGGATCTGGGTTGATCCCAGAGGGGGTAGGTTCCAACGGGTCTACTTACTGAGGTCCCGTTCAGGCCCATCCCGAGGGAGCGATGCCGACCTCACCCGCCTCGCTGGCTTGATCACTGGAGCCGGCTCCCCAAACTCGCCTGGGCTCCTTTCCGCGGATTCGCTGGGAAAGGGACAGACACAGAGTGAAGTTGAGGGCTCAGCACCCCGGTTCTGGGTGCAGGGGGTTTTAACCACCCCCTCCACCCGGCCCTGCGGGGGCTCTGCTTGCACCGAGTGACAGTCACCGCCTCTGCCTTGAAGCATGGAGAGGACGAGCTGCCATGTGCTTAGCAGCCTGCAGACGGGGTCCGTGGGGAGACTGGCAGGACTGCTGGGGGGACTCAGGGCACTAACGCAATCATCTGTCACCCTCTGCGGCTCTGGCTGTCCGTGTGGCTCTGCACATGGGTGAAATGAGCCTGGCCCAATCCTAGGATCCAGGGGAAGCTTGTCAGTCTCCCAGAAAGCTGCATGGGAAAAGGCCCACACCCCACCTGGCCCCCGTCAGAGCTACTGGCCCTTCACCGTGCGATAAAGGGCCCGATTCGGTCAGCATTACACGAGCCTAATTCCCACTAGCTTCGACAGGAGCTATACGGCCCCCGCGTCCCCAAAAGCGCCAGCCGAGGCTGGGACCCCCCCCTGTGCTGTCTCACACCTGGCGTTCCCTACTCCCCACTTCCACCTGCCTGGCACTACTTCCTCTCCAACCTGTCACACCCCCTCACCACTGCTGGAGCAAGAGCCTTCTCCTCACTCAGCTCCCACCGGCTGGAACAGCCTCCCTGTAACCTTTGCAAGTCTCAGCAGAAAACAGGTCAGTTCCACCGGGGGGCAGAAATCTCCCTGGGCACCGGAGAGAACCGGAGAAGGAGGCGGCTGTCGGCCAGCCTATGTCACTGAACTCCCGCTGGCAGAGTTTGCAGGAAAGGCACAATAGGCAACAAGGCCACGTTATGCCGCACACTGGCACCTACCCAAAGGGGCCTGAGTTCTGGACTGAGGGGCCGTTCACCATGGGCTGCTTCCTGCTCCTAGCGGTGCGCGGGGATGACTTTCCCTCTGGGTAGCTGCGGGATCGGTGCAAACTCTCCTCCAGCCGCTGCCGAAGCCGCGAGACCTCGTCCTGCAGAGCCCGGATGGCCTGGCTGGGATGGGAAGGGGAAAAAAGGATTAATAAGTGCAGGTTACAAGAAAAATGTCCGATCCAGAAGGAAAATGGGGAACACTCCATTCTCTTCGCCTGTCTGAAATCACATGGCCAGTCCCATCTCTGCTCCTCAGACTCTTGCAGAAGGGACACCATGGCTCATGCCCCTGGAGACTCGAGAGTTAAAAGTAACCACGTCTATAGGCATGTCTACCAAGAGGTGTGACTGCAGCGCGTAGACACACCGAAGCTAGCTTTAATCTAGATCAAAGCTAGCTTGAGTAACAATAGCAGTGAAGCAGTGGCAGCATGGACTAGCCCCACCCACCCAGGACCTGGGGTAAATACTCAAGCAGTTGACATGGCTTCACAGCTATTGGCATCTAAGCTAGCTGGTGCCCCTGTAAAATGCCACAGATGGTACTGGACATGGCGAATGCAGGCTGCAATCAAATAAACCGGCAGCCAGTTACAGCCTAGAGGGGCACGGGATTGCCCTTCCAAAGGAACTCTGGAAAGGTGGAGAAACCACGAGGGGTCAACAGCATTTGCTAAGAGACGGAACTCCGAACTTAAACCTGCACCAGTACGCGCATGGCTCGCGTGGATGAGAGAGTGGGACAGGAACTGCGCACACGTTTTCCACTAGAATCTAATCCCAGTGCAGCTTGAGTCAGCAACGCAACTCCGATCCGAAGCGCTGGACCAGCCTGTGCTAGGGGACGTGCACGTTGACCCAGTCATGGAGATCAACCACGCTCTTCTCAGGTCCGTGGAGAAGTTTTGCTACCTAAGGAGTACGCTGTCACAGAATGCCATAATTGGGCGTGGGATTCCCCATCGCACAGCCCACGCCTGTTCTGCATTGGGAATGCCGTCACACTGCCTCGGTCAAGGGAAGCACCAAGCTAAATAGCTATCGGGCAGTCATGCTTACGATGCTTACCCAAGGCCAGATTTTATAGCCAGCTGAAGCAAAGCACTGTTCTCCTGGTGACCAGTACAAACGATATAAAGACACACTGAAGTCAAACTTGGAAGCCTGTCAGGTTGACCCCAGCCGCTGGAAAGCAACAGCCCACAGCAGAGGAAGGTGGCAGCAGATTTGTCCTGTCACTGTTAACTGTTGTGAAGCAAGATGCAGCCTGCAATGGTCATGGACAATCTTGTCTGTCCCACATGTAACCGTGTTTGTGGTTCTCGCATTGGTCTGACCTCGCGTATCCGTAGTCACCTTTAGTGTTGACTGAATCCTCATATGTCAACATTGACGTGAGACTCCATCGGCAGCAGACGTACCCTAGAAGGTACTTTCAGGATGCACCAACAGCGGCAGCACCCAAGTTGTCTCCCTTCAAAGGCTTCTGCTGTCTGACTACAGGGCAAGCTAACGGTGCCACAGCTACGTGACCCAGCGTGGCGGCCCAATCCCAATGAGCCCCGTCTTCCACGTCAGAGGCTCCCAAGGCATTTCACAGTCTAAAATGGATATGCAGGAGTCACTGACGTGCAGCCATCCCTGGTGCAGGACAAGACATGAGGAAGACTCCTGTATTCAACTGAGACCATGGGGGGAATTTATAGAAGCAGAAGGTACTTGGCTACTCTGGAAACAGGCCAGGAGATGGGTTAACGCACCTCCTCCTGTGGAAAGAGCCATGGGGCCTAATTGTTTAGAGGTGCTAAGCACCCACAACCCCAGCTGAAGTTAACTGGAGCTCTGGGAGCTCAATCGCCTCCGGCAATTAGGCCCCGTGGAAGCTGCAATGACCACGAATGGTCAGGAGAAGGACGTGGTGAGTCTCGGGGAAGCAGCATCCATCTCACACTGACCCCCGTCAGCAGGAGGGAGCGAACACCCGTGAAGAGTGAGCACTGGAGATGGGCAGGACATTTTCGATGCAAGGACATTTTGCCAAAATGTGCTGCTTCATCGAAGCCGAAATGTTTTGTGGCAACGGATCGGTTATGACGACGTTTCTGTCGGAAAACGAGAGAGGTGGACTCTCTCCGGGGCTGGCCTTAGAGATGGGTGACCAGGGTAGCTGCTCTGAGTGCCAACGTTCAGGGACACCAAATCCCTGGGGTTTTTTTCCCAGTTGTTTAGCTTAGGCCTTTTGAGTGGGGGAGGACCAAAACCAGCTTCCACCAAAGCACCCAGGGCCGTCCCTGACTCTCTCATGTGCCATGCGCTGATAGTGGGTTTTGGTGCCTGCTTTTGGGTTGAAACCTGAGCTTTTCGAGGGTGTGTGATGGGGTGGGGAGAGGGTGCTTGGTGGTTAGGGCACTGGCTTGGGAGGTGGGAAATCCAGGATGATCTGGGACAAACAACTCTACTTTGAATCAGCCAGAGCAGGGACTTGAACACAGGTCTTCCAGGCCTGCGGCCTGGCCACCAGGCTACCATCCCCCCTTCCCTGCCTTGACTCACCCCACCCCCCGTCAGCCCAGCCCAGCGCTCAGGTTTCAATCCCAAACCAGGCACTTGGACACAATTCTGTTTTCGCAAAAATGTTTGCGAGGTTTGGGGTTCATTCCACTGGGGAACAAAAACAAACGTGCAAACCCTGACTGTTGCCAAGGC